TCTGTCCCCTGCGCGCATGCTGCCCATGTGACAGGCCTCAAGATCTTAAGTCCCAGCCTCATGGTCTCAGCCTCCATAGACCAACGGCTGACCTTCTGGCGTCTGGGGCAAGGTGAGCCCACCTTCATGAACAGCACTGTGTACCATGTTCCGGATGTTGCTGACATGGACTGCTGGCCTGTGAGCCCTGAGTTTGGCCACCGCTGTGCTCTTGGGGGCCAGGGACTCGAGGTTTACAACTGGTATGACTGAGTTACCACAGGTGGTTGAAGAACTGAGCGTGGGGCCTGCTTGTAGACGGTGGAGCAGGGATCTGCTGTCTACGTATATGCCCAGTGTGCTCTGAGGAATGAGGCAGTACCATATTGACGTGCAACGCATCAGTAGGGTGCCGCATAGGCGGACCAAGAATATGCCTCACTCTCTTCAGTGGGATAAAACTATTTATTTTGGTTTTAAGTGCCCAACATCTGTGAGGTTTTGTTTTTTTTCCCCGGTTGATGATTTTGTAAACATTCCCAGTTACTGGGCCCTTAGATGTGGCTCAGTGGAGGGAGGCCCAGCAGAGCCAAGCCTGTGTGGAACACTTCACGTACCGCCCTTAGTAGCTGTAGGCGGGCAAACATCTGACCAAAGAGGTGTGGCCGAGGTTCCTGAAAGAAAAGGAACCAGGCTTATCCTCTTGTCTCCCTGTCTTTATCCTGTGTCCCCCACATTCCCCACAGACACCCTTTTGCTGTATACTCACCCCTAGAATGTGCACTCGGTTATAGTATGAGCTGAAATCCATGCTGAGTTGCACCAGGAACTTGCACACCTAGAGACAGAGGTTGAATCACTGAGTTGTTGTCCTGTTCTTGTGTCATAACCCAGAATAAAGAATAGTGTGTAGTGTCTGCCTAGTCTGTGCCTCACCATTTCCGTGCGGACAGTGATGTGGAGCCCTGGGGTGCTGGCCAGGCTCACAGACTGGCTCAGCAGGTCCAGGAAGGGAAGGACACTGTTGAAAAGCAGCAGCCACTCTCCCTGTGGGAGACAAGGGTGCTAGGAGGGCCAGTCCAAGCCTTCTGCCTGTGGCTGTTTCTCAGGACGGACACTCACCTCATCATGGAGCAGTGAGAAGTCCAGGCTGCTCACAAGTGGAAAAGCGGGATACAGACCTCGTTCCATCCCCTGTTTGTAACCCTCGAAGAGTGTGGCAAGGCGGGCACAGTTATACATGACAAAAGTGCCACTCTTTGTGCCCTTTGTGGAGATGGTGCTGTCGGCCAGGAGGAGCTAGGAAGGGGAATCCAGCTGTGGAGGGCATGGGCATGACACTGTCCTCCTCAGTCTTAGTACTCAGAAGCACCCAGGCTTACCTGGTTCTGTGGAGCTGTGCTTAGCATCTCAAATTTGATGGTGGCCACAGACAGGACATCAAAGTTCTTGGTCCATGCTGGATCTGGGGGTAAGAGATACAGGTTGGTCAGTGTATGCAGACAAGGAACAAGGAGTAAAAGTATAAATGACCTGCTCGTACTTGAGGGCACAAGCGGGGTCTTCCAGGTGTACCTTGTGCCAGGTCCCCTCCATGTTTCAGTGCTGAGGCCTTACACACCTGAGCATATCTGAGCCTAGAAGAGAAAGCCAGTGAGCAAGGCCCTAGGGGGAGCCCTTCCCATATCTCAGCTGCCCCTGGCTTTGGTTGGTCTGTCTGCCAACTCACTCACTCGTAGTACTCGGGGGCAGTCATCTGGGTGCCAGGTACACCAGCTACTTTCACTGGGCCACAGACCAGGTGCTTCTGTGAAACAGGGCAAGGGCTCAGCCCAGTTGGTACTACCCTCCAGCCTCCAAGATCCTGCATCTGTTACTTCTCTGTCTGGGTTCTCTCAATCTGTACCCATCAGTTTTAGTGTCTCCCCAAGCCTAGGCCCTCAAGACACAGTTCACCTTCATAGGACCTCTGCACCTGTGACACAGGCCCCTAAGGTCAGTTTGAACCCATAGTCTCACAGGCCCTTTGGGTTTTCAAGGGCCTTCTGAAAACCTTCCAAGTGGTTTACCTTTGACACCAACCTGCTTGTGAGGAGCCTGGTCATCCAACTTTTGCCAAAGCAGATCCAATTTTTGTTGCTGGAATGCCTCCTCACAACTCACCACATGAACAACCATGCAGCCCTCTACACCAGAGTCTGGATCCCCATCCTGAGGAGAGACAGGACAGTTACTACAAAGATGCAGAAAACCAGTTTGGGCAGAGTTCAAGACTGGAGCCACTAACCAGGCCTGGGTAGCCGCCCTCTGGCCAATGGTGCACAGCCTCCTGCAGCTCTGATAGCACAGAGAGCATATCCTCAGTCACTACAGAAAACAGAGAGATGTCAGGAGCTCGGCAGTGCAGAGAGATCCCCCACCCATCCTGGCCTCTGTCCTACCTACCCAAACAGTTGTCTATGCCGGGGTCATAGCCCGCGACAGGTCTCCGCTGTACTAGTTCCTTCAGACACAGCCGGCCCAGGACGCCAGGGGGCAGTGTCTCCTCCTCAGAAACAGAATTAAGTTCTGCAAGCACACAGGTCCTCAGGGTTTCAGTCGAGGTGCTCTTCGAGGCGGTGGGCCAGTCCACCCGAAGTTTCTGAAGGAAAGTTGCCATGTGCGGGTCCCGCACCGAGGGCACTGAGCGCACACATACCCTACAAAGCAAGGGTGGCTGTCTCAGCCTGCGAACCAGGCCCAGATCACCATGACTTACCACCTTCTGTGTCTGTCCCCGAAGGTCAGTCTTTCGCCACTGCCAACGCGCTCACCCGTGAGCTCGCAGCGTCCGCGTTAGGTGATCGGCCACGAGCACAGCACGCAGCTGGCTCAGGCGGAGTGCGCTCGGGTTGCAGCGCAGTGCGGGGCAATGCAGAACAAGTCGCGGGCCTGGCGAGGCGGGCTTGGCGGGAGTAGCGTAGGAGGCCAGGGCCCCGAGCACACGCTCGAAGACAGCGGGGCGCTGTAACTGGAGCGATAAACCCGCGGGTGTTGGCGCGCAGCGCAGCACGGGGGCCACCCCGGGGCCCTGCAGGCAGGTGACCGCACTGAACACGCGTTCCGGCACCTGCGGGCAGATGGGCGTGTGGGCGGACCG